ATAATATATATATATTTGTATGTGTATGTATATACCGGATTTGTGGCGGATCAATAGCGTCCATTTAATTCTTGCCTGGTTTTTGTTTGTCTCTTCATTCGGCCGACAGGAGGACACCAAAGATCAGCCTTGGGGCTTCGCAAGGGCGTCTTGGTGTTTGTTGTTTTTGGTCCAGGGGACCACAGAGAGGGTTGCTCCACCCTATTGTAAATGATAACAACAGGTAACTTGGTCATTTTTTCCGCTATATTTCGCCAATTTACCACCCCTTGTACCTGGGGTGTTTGGGGCCATATTGAATAATTATATCGAATTTAGCCATCCCATTCTCGCTAACCTAATTTTGGACCATTGCCCAAGGGATGGATTTGGATTGGTTGGGTTTCTTCAGTGATGTCAAAGGCTGTGGGAGGCCCTTCCTGGACTCATCGGCTGTGCACTGCACTCATTGCACTTCTGCACTTTTTGCATCACTTGCGGTCCCTCATAGTCTGATAGGTTATTACAATACTGTATATATATATACGTAAATATAAATTACTTGAAATATATGACCTGTGATCCCCCCAAGCATAAGTACAAGAGATTGTATATAAAATACCGGAGCTGTTGCACGATAAAACTGGTGAACTATCCAAAACATGGGCATCATGTACATGTATGTACATGTATGTCATCATGATGTGTGTCATTGCTATTATGATGTGTTGCTATATGTGGATATTATTTGTTAATAGATCATCATGATCATCGTGTTTTGTCTTTCGACATATTGAACTGATGATGATAAGTAATTAACAAGGATAAGAAAACGTATGATAAGTTAATTTGCACGTATGTATGCATAGTAACCCCCACAAAGATATAAACGTAGAATCCGACACACGTAGTCATCATGTACTTCTCTTCTCTATCTTTTTTTAATGTTTATTTGTTACACACATATATATATATGTATATATAATACATACTTATATATGTGTATGTGCCACAGTGCCACACACACATGTATGCATATGTATATATGTAAGAATATACATGCATAGCCACGTTTGGTAATGGCAGTGAATATCGCAGTTCCTGAGGACATGCAGTGGGGACAGGGCCTTCAACTCATCGAGGACTTCGATGCAGCCAACGCCAAGGGAGGCACGGGGACTTGACCAGCAGAAATCGGGACTTACCCGTGAACCATGTGAGATTTGGCATTTATAACACCACCAAAAATTGTCATTGAGCCATCAAACATGTGGATGCACAGCAACTACAAAAAAATAAATAGGGAGTTAGCCCTAACATAGGGCATGCAAGCAGCAGTGATAGGGATGTAATGATTGGGGGATGACCAGGGGCGATTGTTGAAATCATCATTATTATGTGTTGCAATTGTTTTCTGGGTAGTAGAGATTGCACGAACATGGTCAGTCGATGAGATGGTCCCTGCTGCAGTTGGGCTGCCAAAGCAGTGCCACGCCATCATATTCCAGTCACAGGTTCGGGTCACCCCATTCGCTATATAGTTGACAACTACCCTTCGGTAATCAAAAATGGCAAATTAACATCTTTATAGATGGAGGCTTTAAAGGGAAGCTCATCTGCAAACGATGGATTTTCGCCAGGTTTGATTGGCAGAGGGTAACAACTCCACAACCAATCGGTTCCCAGTGCTTGGCATGGCGCCCGAAAATGATCAGAAAGATGTGCAAAAACACAATTTTCTATGCACTCCCACCGAATAGATAATGATAGATAGGTAGACAGGTAGGAAGATAGGTAAATAGGTAAAATGGATAGGCAGGCAAGTAGGGAGAGGGATAGGTAGCTACCCAGGTAGTCAGGTGATAGCAGGTACAGTAAGCAGATGTAGGTAGATGGGTAGGTAGATAGGTGCAGGTAGGTAGATAGATAAATGATGATAAATGATGATAAACGATGATAAATGATGATAAATGCATGTATTTGGTAGTTCCATTGTAATTTTGGGAGAATCGACTCAGGCGTTGCTGGGGTCCGGGCAGGCGACCGTGCCCTTCCTCCTGCACCCTTCGCTGTGACAGAAGGGGAGGAGATCTACTTGGATGTGCATCCCGTGAAGTGGATATACCCTCTGGCTATCAATAGTTAATTTACCAATTGAAATTTGTGATTTTCCATGGTTATGTAAACGTTTACCAGAGGGTAAGTAATATGTCCATGTATTTCCAGGTGTCTTATTAGTCTTATAAGCTACAAACATCAATACATAAACCATGGCAACCCAGGAATATCCGTCATATCAATTCATATCATATCTATTTGGTGGTATTTCAGTCTGAATTGGGTCATAGTATGGGTAGTAGCCACTTACTGACAATGCAGGGGTGGCTACTGCACATTTCATTTTTAGGACACTGACGGACACCGCGTTGCACCTCTTGTATCTTGAGATTCCTGAGCTCTTCCCACAGGAACTTGATCCAAAGAACCGTGTTTTGTGCTCAAAGCAGCCAAAACGACTAGGGTTGGCTTGGAATGGTGGTTGCATGCGTCTTTTATGGCCAAACCGATCCAACCGCTATTGAGTCCCCCACTGACCAATTTTGTCGAGGAGTTGCTGCTGACGGTGCGAATGAGTGTGCCCTGCCGTCAGACTTTTCAGCCGCTCGGCCAAGGGGTACAGATACCGTATATTTATAATTTATATTCTTTCGGGGTTCATTCGTGGTATCCTTTGTGTTATCTCCCACCCTTAAGGTTGACATGGTGCCAATACAACGAAACTGGTGGCTGAGTGCGCGCTTGGGGATAACCCAAGGGTCGCTCCGCAAACAATATAGAACGATTCTAGGATGACTGACCACTGACAATGATCCAATGAGCGGCTCCCCCGGCTGCTTTTTAAGTCATTTTAAGTCAACCTTAGATGTCAGAGATAAACCACATCCATGTCAAATTTTGGTAAACATAACTTGTCTCATTGCCTGGAATAACTGACAGAGACAGAGACGCCTTCTTTTGTTCTTCCGAAAGCTGCCGAGGTTTACTCTCCAGTTCCGGGGCCCAACGTTTGGGGAATTGCTTGCTTCAAAGTTGGCATGTTGCATGGGTAGCCTTGCACTTGGGTGGGAAGATGTTATATATATATAGACATACATACATACATACATATATATATATCCAATCAGGCACTCTCTATTTGTCTATGTGATGATTCTAGAATCCTTTGGAATCAAAAATCCAAGGCTGCCATGGTGAAATCAGCCCTCAACAATTCGCCCTCCCAGATCCTTCGGTCCAAGTCACCAGGCGAGTGAAAGCTGACGCGCAAAGCTAGTTCCACCGAATGTCGTTGGCTCGGGGCTTTGGTCCAAGGCGTGGGGTCCGTGTCCAAGGTGTAAGCTACATTCCTGACGAGCAAGATGACCATGTCAGCCATTCACATGTATTCACATTTCCAAAAATGTGGGGGCGAAAATTGATGAAGATTGACCCATATGCATCCATATGCCATATGCGCCTCTGTTGTTTTTGTGTGGAGAAAAGGTTCACCCAGCGGAAAGCAACATATCAGAGACTACAACAATTCAATTGTCAATTTGAAGGGAACAAGCGGGGGCAGGGTTATGGCACCAGTATATGATTTTATCCCATTGCATGTCTTTTAGGGTCCTTCAAACAGCAAGGCCTGTATTGCATGAAAAGTTAACAGAAGTTCGGCAGCTTACCAAGGGGGCCTTTGTGAAAATCAATTGCTCATTTCATCGGAAAATTCCAGGAATACGCTAGCTACATAAATAAATAAATATATATATATATGTATAGAAAATTCCAGGAAACCATGAAATACGCTAGCTACATAAATAAATAAATAAATAAATATATATATATATATACACGTATAAATATATATATATATAGAGAACTATATATATATAACACGATTAGTACATATATATATATATATATATATTCCGTACATCATGTTTATAATTTAGGTACTCTGAACAAAAATCATCATTCGTTTTGCGATACTAGGCAAGGATTCGCCTGCGACAGACCGTTGCCTTACGCTTGTTATCGGATCATCTCAAGGGATGTCCTTGACTTTCTTGGTGCCAATTGACGAGGTCACCGTGATATTCATATGATGACAACATTTCTGATTGAACACATGATATTCAAGTTGCATCCAGCGCTCAGTATCATGTTGCTGACAGAGATTATAGCTGGTTGATGCCTGTTTGCCAAGCTGCAATTGCAGGAGGTTTAGCCCAGTAACGCCTAATTACATGGATCAATGGATTGGTTTAAGGGAAATCTTAACCGGAAACCAAATATTTTTCCATTAAACATGGTTTTTCCTGTAAAAATTCCCTGAAACCAATCCATTGAATGGAGTTGTTTGCGGAGCTCTTTATTCTAGCTCGTCCAAGTTTGGCGCACATGTATTGATCTTTGGTGTCATCCAGCCAATGTCGGGCGGGCGGCAAAAGGGCTGCAGGGCCGGGGACGTGTTGAGTTCCCACAGAAGTGATGAGAATTGCTGTTGGCAACTTCTGGTTTATTTGAATGAAGATCAGAGGATCAAAGACATATGGGGGGTTCCATAAATGGGGGTGCCCCAAAAATAGATGGTTTGTGATGGGCAAGCTTATAAAAATGGATGATTTAGGATTACCCCCATTTTACAAAACCCTCATATCATGGTAGGTGAACCGCGGTGAACCCCTCAATGATCAGTGAGAAGGCTTTGATATAGAGCTGACCAGCCCATAGGCACCGGCCTGTCTATCCATATTTGGCAAGGCCGCAGGGCTACCCCCAACTCACCATGTTCGAAATGTATTCAAGGGTAGAGAAGAGGAGAGGTTTCTGGATCCATGGGACTGGGAAGATCCGAGATTCTTTGATGACACCTCAAACTTGAATTAAGATCTACATGTCGAGCTTTGGCGTTGAACTGACTTAGTTTGGACTTGGAGCCCTTTCCTTGCAGCCAGGACTTACGACCCGATGCTGCCATGTATTGCCATTTCCTTGGCGGGCCTTGCAGCGTGCGCGGGTGTGTATGTGTGTGTGTTTGTGTAGATTTTCAGCTGCAAAACTCATTGGTTTCACACCCAAACACCCAACAAAATGGCGAGTTCTTGAGATTGGGGATCCCCAGTACTACAATGGTCCGATTTTGGATGATTTCGGGTAACCCCATGACTGAAAAAAACCTCCATATGATGAAATATGAACATGTTTGTTTCTAGCCTCTAAGTAAGTTTTATTATCCTCATGATGATTTGAAGTGCCTCCTGTTGTTTTGTGTTCCTTTCCCACGGAAATTGCAAATAAAGTTTGAAACATGTTATTGCAAGTGGATATTGCATTCGTTGGGTTCACTTGGGGTGTTATGGCAACTCATCAGCACATCCAGGAACAACTGAAATTAATATGCCCAACACTTGTTCTCAAAGTCACACTCAGGAGTGCATTCTCTTTACCCAGGCTCTTGAAAAGCTGGTTGAAAAGGAGGCACTGCAGGAGGCACTCCTGTGAGAAAACCAACTCTGACCCTGAGGCGCCACCATCACTGCTTGCCAGAGAGTTGCGAGGTGCCCCCATTTTATTTCGCAAAGTCATGGTGGGGTCGTGGGAAGATATGGAAAGACAAGGCCTTCAACATATTAAACTTATTAAACTAGTAGAATTAGGAGATCTTATCATGGGGTTCGAGTTGATCTAAAGATCCCAAAGGAGTGGGATACATGCACTTCAGCTGCGGAGGTTCAGGATAGCACCAACATGATCAAAGAAATGATTTGAACCCAGAATAGTGGCTTCACCTCCCTGAAGGTGGGAAGCAGCCCTGGCATTGCTGATGAAGGCGCGGGGTGAAGCAAAAATAAGGCTGCGAGACTGCGAGATGTACATGGTATCCAAACATATTCCAAGCACGGTGTCATTGTGTGCAGTCCAATCCCCCTGGCGAAAATTAGGACCACCATATGGATCCAAAACAGGGCCCAGAACATGACTGGCCTCATGAGAAGTGATGCTGAACTATTCTCTATTATGTTTGTGATCATGATCATCATGTTTACTCTACATATTACTATTGTCAATCATTACCAAGTTATCCCCATTGAAATTTCCCTATAGAGAATGAACCTACACCTGTGACCCCCATTTTGAGGCTAGAAACTTCCCGCCCAGTCAATTTCCCTACATTTCCTAGGGAAAGTCGAAAAGGTCCTTCATAATTTTATTTGTAACTGTACCTGACCATTTTCTAGAGAGATAAGGGCTGGAAAAAAAAACAATAAATCGAACTCTTGTCCGAATGCTTCCTGGGTCATTCCTGGGGAATGCTTAAAAAGCCCCATACCCAGGGCCAAGTTCATCCTTCCATATCAAGTTATGTTCTAGACAGCTGCTAGATTGATATCAAGAGGCAAATTGATTGTGCCATGCATTTTCTAGACGGTTTGGGGTATCCAGGAAACAGATATAAATTGACCATAATTGACCATATTTGTTCGATATTTTGTTGAAATGTCATGTGATGATATGTTTTTTTTGAACTTTCTATTCCAAAATTGTGCAGACGGAACTTCACGCTTCACTCGAAAGTGCCAAAATCTTGAAGTGCCAATGCGCAATATTGTTTGAAAGAAGTGTAAGGGACAATAGCATTTTGGGATACCCTTGGCTCATTCAATTTTTGCCTAGAAAATGCCTGAACATGAAAGGGTCGACATCATTGTTTGGGGGGATTCCTTGGATCATGTGTTTTTGAAGTGGATTTTTAGTTCCTGGGAGACCAATTTGATGTTTTCTGGGGCTTCCTGGGAACCATAGGGTGCCGGTTTCAGGAAGGTTTGGCACTTCATTTTCTAGGGAAAACATGACTTATTTTGGGTCTTGGATTTTGACGCATATTTCTTTGGTTTTTTGACTGGTCCAGCTTCATGCTATTCCTGATCATTTTCTAGAGAACAAGTGGTGAGTTGATGATGAGTTGCACTTCCATGTGCCTATTTTCTTGAAAATTTGCACGTGCAGAACAGGCATGAACATTTCTAGAAAATGATTAGACCAGGCCCCCAAGAACATCGATCTTTATCTGTTGTTTTTTCTCGTTTTCCAGGCTTGTGACTTGTGACTGTTTCGTTAATTTGTCTCGCACATGAGGATCATTTGAGCTACCACCAAATGGCAAGGTTTTTTTTTAACCAAGGCATGTTGATTCATGTTGTAGAAATTTTGTTGTTTAACAGCTGCATTTTCTTGAAACGTGTGGCAACACATTGCAACACACATGTCGAACCGAAAAAATATGGAGACTTTTGCCAACCTTGTTTCTAGCAACCAATCTTCAACAAGTCTTGGGCAGAGGAATACATCACCTACGATGGCGTTGGATTACAGGTCAGTTTCTGGATTTTTTTTGTGGCATAATTATATTGACTCAATTTGATGTTTTCTGGTGATTCCTGGGGAATATGGATTACCTGCCTTAGCAAGGGTTACACAATTCATTTTCTAAAGAAAACATTGTTCATTTTTGGCCCTCGATTTTTGAAACATTTTTTCAAGGGAACATCTTTACTTGTTATTATGATGGCATTACAAATTATTTTTTAGACCCAAAGTGGTGAATTGTACTCTCATGCATTTGTTCGTTTGAAAAAATGCATGTCCAAAACATCCATGCACCTCTTTAGAAAATGAATAGTCCAATAAAAAACAATAAAATAAAACGTACAATTTTACTTGTGTTTTTTCATTTTCTAGGCTTTTGATTGGGTCAGAACTTTTCTAACTAGAAAATGATGGTAACTTGTGTTCAGCCAAAAATATCAATAGGGATACCAAGTTGTTGCATTTTTTCTGAGGTTGAAGCGGGGCTATGAGGAAACAGAACCGTATGTATTTGGTAGAAATATTGGGTGTTCCTGTGCTGTTTTAAGTTTGGAACTTACGAATTTGGCTTCCTGTGTGTTTTCCTGTAGGTTATCAGGCTTCATCCGGTCACCCTGATACTAAATGCCAGAAATGTCTTTTTAGGGATCCCATTTCTTGAATAGACCCAAGACTTAACCATGATTTCAATAGAGGATATTGATATGATCCAAATTTCGGAGTGGAATTACGAAACTGGCGTGACCTCCAGCCACCCTGTGAACCGGATTTTTGTTTGGCTGGAAAGGATCTTTGTTTGGCTACACTCCTCCTTAAAATGATTTGATTAAATCATTCTCTTTTGTGGCTGTAATGAGTTCTAATGCACCCCCATCAATCATAGGATTTTTGAATTTTGGAGTACAGAATCATGAAGAACTATAAATCCCAATCGGAACCATAGATATGTAGATTATCATTTGTTTGCTTTTGTAGATTATTATAATCCAATATTTTCTATTGGACAATCGGTGTCCATATGATAGGTATGCTAGATTATGATAATAGCGTTGCAGGATTACAATCTATAGATAATCCCTACTATTATGATAATCCCTGGATAGATTATAAGTAGATAATTACTACATGATAAATTATGATCATCCCTGGATAGTGGACACCCCCTGGTAACCCCCGACCCCCCCACCAAAAAAAGACTCCAACTGCTCCAGCTCTAGGCTGACTGTGGCATATGGTCTCCCGGCGGCGATGTGGTGCACAACGCCCTTCTCAGCGTGTCGGAGCCCCGGTGAAGGCCTTGGATGTAGATTTTCTCTGGGAATATACAGTTGATATATGTTGATATGGGGGGGCATATGTTTTTTCCAGTTATATATGTATATGTATGTATTTAGGAAAATTTGGGGATGTGTTTAAAGTTTTGTAACTCATCATCGTGTTCTTTTCCAACTTTCGATGGCTATGCAACGAGCCGAGGTTCGAAAAGGCGACGCAATGGGAACTGGTCGCCTCCTGAGATGTCTTTGAAACATGGTTTTGGGCTGGTTTGTTGATGGTTTGCTGATGGATTGCATCAACCATCGTACTACTGATGAGGGCAGAAGGTGGTGGTTTCATGTAGTTTCATGTCCCAAAATTGGTTCCTTCTGCCAATTATTAAACATCCCCCAGAATCCTCATAGCCCTCATAGTCATATTAGTATTAGAAAGCATCAGATCACGATCGCAGGTGCCCTGTTGGACGAGTTTAATATTAGGGGGGGTGAGATTTCCTTCCTCTACCCTATCCCCAAACGATTCTTCTGCATCAAAGCTTGCTTTGTATTCCAAGGCGTTGCACTTCTGGAAGATTCAGTGGGGCTGCACGGGGATTTCTACATCACTTGGTTGTGAAAAGGTGGGTAAAAAGCACCACCTTTTGGTGCGCCAAAGTTTCAGATCCTGATGGAAAAGGCACTAATTTATTATGTCTACAAATGACGTGACATTTACAGGATTTCAGGAGTATGAGAGGCTCGTGCCCATCATGTGGCCAACCCCGTTAATTAGCCTAATCCAAAAGGGTTGCCAGGACATCCAATAATATCCAATACTAGCTCTGTTATGAGATCATCACCCTCAACGTTTGCCATATCGTTGGCCACGCAAGAAAATCCGATTATTTGGAGGGAATATTCAGAACTATCCTGCTATCCTGTTGTTTTGAGGGGGCTGAGTAGCTATTTGTTTTTGATTGTTTTTGCATCCACATTCCCTATTTAAAGAAAATAGGGAGACAAGGAGATCATGAAATGTTCCCAACCACAAGTGGTCCAAACAAAAAAAAAAAGCGACCACGTGGATTCACTGCTCTCGTGTCCCTGGCTCCAGCTGGGTACAACATTGGGGAACAGCAGGCTAGTAGTCTCCTGTTTAGCAATGAATGAATATGATACACACACACATATATATATATATATATAAACACATATATTACATATATATTTTTATATAAATACATAATGATAGTGAGCATTGTGATGCATCTAGTGAACGTAAGTGTGATGTTGATAATGCTGCGTACGGAAAGCGCGGTGATGAAAATACAGCTTATGTTTTATGTAGTTTTGTCACATCGCAGAATGTCCCATTAGAAATGTATACAGGTGCTCATGTGCAGCATATCTAAGGTTAGACATTTCAAACAGGAATCTTGAGCCTGGTACCAAAGGAATGGCTGTATGACTGTCTGCCATTCATGGCATTGCATCCATGTCAGGGGCCAACTACCGAAGTATATGAAATAATGGAGAGATACTCCTGCAGCGTGGCATTGGGAGGGATATGCGGCTCCATTTATTGTATGCATACACAACCCCCAAACTGATGTAGACAACAGAGTCTGGGTGATTCCAAGGACTTCATTGCTCTGATGTTTTCTGGAAAGTGTTGAGAAGTTCAAGGCCCTATGCCTCCGTCCATACGGGCCCGCTGGTTTCCGCGTACCGGTTTCATCGTTTCATCGTCATTTCGTTGGAGTCGGTGCCGCGCACCGTGGTGAGCCATGCAAGATGCAGGGGCAATCAGGAAGCTACGACGCTGGGACTGTTCTGAGGCAAAGTGATCGCCCATTTCTCCGTAGGCTTTATGGTTGAATAGGGTCGATATATCCGGAGGGGCGGGTTATGAACCAACTGATAACTGGGGTCCACCACCTTCTACAAGGTGGAAAGTATGGCAGGACTCGTATTCCATTTGGCAACATTGCATTGATGAATAGATGTTGATGGGGTATGCATCGTCCGATCCCCTTTATTTTCATTCTATATTTGGGTGCTAGTATTTGTCAAGCCCTCGTTTATATTTGGGATAGTTTTGGATCAGGGCCAAATTGCGTAGGTGTTTTGATCGCTCCCTTTATTTTCCAGTTGATCGCATATGAGTATATATATATACCAATCTTCCGGCCCTTTCATGCCTGCAAGTGTGGTTGTATGTGATAATTCTACACTACATGTACGAATTGAATGTAGATGCACTTTGTTTTATGTATATATATATACACAGATATGGTGCGCCGCTCATAGAATACGTCTTACTTAACATGCTGTTGGAGTTGCAATCTTGTCGCATCCTATCATGGAACGTAGGATGAGTTTGCCATTGTTGCAAGCGGCCAAGACGAAGCAATGGGCCATGGCAACGACATTTTTATGGGAGCTCGAATTGCAAGCTCAGGGTAATAGTAAGTAGTGTTTCTCATCAATTCCTTCTAGTGTCAGGGTTGCTCCAACTCATTGTAAATGACAGCCACAAAGAGGGAACATTGGTCATGTTGCCGTATTTTTACCCAATTTACCCCTCTTGCAGCTGGCGTGTTGGTGTTCCTGTTGCGTGATGTTTCATGACCCCGTGATATCATTCAGCTAGATTCAATGGTCCTTCACCATTTTTTTAATCACCATATGTATAATTATATATATATATATATACGTATATATTATACAGTTGAATTTATATACCACATATGTTTCTTGATGACATTAAATATTACTATTATATTATATTATATTATATTTTTGGTTCCATGCTAGTCGTCCATTTAATATCCCATGACCCATTTCTGTTTGGTTGTACTTGGTGTGAAAATGGCGGACCCCCGGTCCCATGATGAATCATACTTCCGATGCAACATTGCAAATTTGGGGTATACACCATTTTCAGACCCAGTCACACCCATCATGTTCATATCAAGTTGGTACCCCCATGAGAAATCCCACCACTTGTTAAATCTACAAGTATCATGGGCTCGGATCTGAAGGGTTCCATGTTTTTCCTAATTGACTCTCCCTTGTGCAATGGTTGGTTGAATCTTTATAACTAGGCTTCATGGTATAGATCGGACTAGTTCACGGGGTGGAACTAAACCAACAATCATTTCACTGGGGCACCACCTTGCAGTCCTATGTATACATATATACATATATGCATACATACATACATACATACATACATACCTACCATTACATTGCATTACATTAGATTACATTGCATTGCATTACATTACATTACATTTACATTACATTTACATTACATTACATTTTACATTACATTCATATATATATAAATATGCATATATTGTATATATATATGTGTGTTTCCAGTATAATACCCATTTGTTCTAGTTAAACCAGCTACATCCCACTTACTATTCCATTTTGATCTCGGATTCTTTCCGATTACCTTCCCAGCCATTTTGCTGACGTCTTCATCCCAAGATCTCAGGGCCGGTATCTGTAGTATCCCAAATCCATTGGTTCCTCATCCTTTTCCACAGATGGTCGTTGGCTTGGGGCACCCAATTTTCACCAGCCATGGCTTGGAAGATCCCAAGGAGCTGCCCCACGTGAATTTGGTCTTCATTGGCCCCTCGGGCAGCGGCAAGTCCACCATGCTGGGGCATCTCATCGCCGAGAGTGGCGCCATCGACGCCTGACGCGTTTCAGACCCGTTTTACCATCCAACAACTTGGCCTGTAACAACAAAGGTGGGAAACAAGCGAGTTTGGCAGTTTTACTGGAAAAAATGTGGATTCATATATAATTTTGGGGATGGCGGACGGCGATGGAGAGAGATAGTTTAAATTGGGGGCCACAGCACGAAAAAAATGTGATTGTAAGGCAACTTGCGGTTTCACTCTACTCAGCAACGGTTGAGAGAAGCAGCCACGTGTTGGAATATGAGCAACGAGGATGTAGCGCGCGCACACACACACACGCACACACACACGCACACACGCACACACGCACACACACACACGCACACACACGCACACACACGCATTCAAGAGTTGCTTGCAAGCAGACTGCACAATACGATGTGACTTCAACCGACCTAATTTGGAGCACGTTAAGGTGCCTCAGAATTAGCAACATGTTGCCTTAGCTAACATAGTTCGACTTTATAGTGATGGGATTGGGAACCGCCCTAGTGACTAGTGGGGTGCACCTTGCCAAGAAACTGAATGGTTCCATTGGTATCCTGAACCATCCACTTTTCCCCACCCAGGACGGCGAGAACCTGCAGCGGATCTTTGATGAGGCGAAGGAGCGAGGTGCCGGCCATGGCTGGGCGGCGCGTAAAGTGGGGGCGTTTGGCAGTTTCCCGATTGTTCTATCTGAAAAATAAAATCAGGTGAATCTGGTTCTTTGGTTGATTATAACCCGTGATGTGACATGTTAAACAGCATAACATAGATTCATATACTGTAGGTTCATTTACAGTAGATATGTGTATATGGTGTGCAGGCGATGGAGAGAGAGAGAGAGAGAGAGGAGTGTACAATATACATATATAATCATATATAAACATGTATTTAGTATTCATACGTATTTTTAGCCGTTATCATTGTTTTTCATTTTTTTATCACTATTTATCACTATATATCATTATTTATAAGGGTTTACTTTCATTGAAACCACTTGGCAATTCCCAAGTGCCTGATGATGGGGATCCATTTGATCAGACCCTTTGGTTTGTTGAGCAAGGGGGGTTACCCAGTAGCATCCCAACGTGAAGCCAACTGGGTGTGGTTGAAACTTGGTCCCAAGTTAATACTAAAAATGGATTTCAGTCATCTTAAATCGTTGGTTTACACCTCGTCTTTAAATTTTGACCTGTTGCACACGTAGATCGGTTGAAACAGGTCATCCAGAGAGATGTTATGCATGGATCCTGGACAAGTTGAGCTGCGAACGCCAGCGTGGCAATAGCATGTACGTGGCCATGTGGAGGCAGACGGCGTGGTGTGTCATTCCATTTTGGAGATATTGGAATTCCATATGTTCCATTATTATCCATTATTCATTATTAATGTTATGATTCCATTTTGCGGGATATGGGATTTGCAAAAGGATTACTATATATTACTATAGTGTGTCGGATTCAGACTAGCTTGTAAATTAAAGACATGTGTTTGTGTTCAAAGGATATGTAGACATTCGATTTGCGAGAGTGAATTCCAACCAACCAACCAACCAACCAACCAACCAACCAACCAACCAACCAACCATAAGTACGGCAAACGTCCAAGCAGAGCAACTGCCGAAGCAGTGAGTCGCTTCCCCATGCAGTCCCGTGCGCAAGTACTAAGACCCTTACGCTGCCCTTAAAACACAGCGCATAAGGCTGTCCAATGCATGCATATGCATGCTACTAGTAAAGACATCACCAAAGACATCACCCTTTGCATGGTCAAATTTGATACCCATGCTACGTTTGTACCTGTGAGGTTCAAGCCTATGGCGAGATGTTTGTTTTAAACATGTGTCATTCTCAACTCCACCCTTGTTTGTTGACAATTTTGCAGTCGCATCATTTTCATTTCAATGGTCTTGGACTCAGAGCCAGCTTCATTGTGGAGGTTTCGGCCCATAATATGGATCACATCAGATCAGACCCATAAATACCCATAATCTTAATCGTTTAACTCCTCCATTTTTTCAGGGTCAGTTTTTCGGTCAGGTTGGCGTCCCGCAGATGTCGCTTTACCATCATGGACGCCTGGTTTGGTGTCTTGTGAAGTGGTTGCTGCACTGAATCTGGTTCTTGATCTTTAAGTATGAGTATCAGCTCCTATGCGGATCAATGATTAGTACATCATATACTATGGTATTGATGACTGCTGATCTCCTTGTAATGGCGATATAGACATATAATGCGCATATAATCACATACATATACTGTAGATAGATATATAATGATATATATATAATTACGTATATGTACATGCATCTTACTAATTTGATTTACTAATTTGATTAATATAAATATGCATATATATATATATATACATACTATAGTCAAAATGGATTTCTTTACCTATTTTATGACTCCTTCAGCCATGGCGATCCTTTTCGGGTCCGGCCGTGGTCCAAGGACGCACCCGGGCACAGCGATTTCTCCCAGGATATCGTGACAGCCATGTCGCAGGTGCCGGCAGCACCCAGATACGGTTCCCTTCAGACAGACCTTCAAATGGTACGGTAAACCCAATTGTGTTTAGCTACACTTCTGGGAGTGCTGAAAAAGCAGCCATTTCTGCGAATACTCGGCAAAGTTTCTAATTGAGTCTGTTACAATCACCACCTGACTGCGATGTCACTGGTTTGACAACCAATCAATTAGATACAATTAAATAATATATATATTGTTCTTACTCGCCTTTTGCTCTACTGAACTTCTTGAGAAGGCGATGGAGAGAGAGAAAGAGAGAGAGAGAGAGAGATATATATATATATATAATATGTATATATAGTATGGGTATGCTTGCAAGAATTGCCCTTCAGTTTAGTAGAGCATTACTATTCACTCAGATGAGTTTCGCACTCGGCAGGCCGACATCGCAGTGCTGGTGGTGCCAGCCGCAGAGGAATTGGAACAGGAGAAGGCGTGCACCATCCCAAATGGGCCGGGTTTCTTTCAATTTGGAAGGATTTCAGAAGGATTACATAGTGAACTAATGTGAACTAATGTGAACTAATGTGAACTAATGTGAGCTGATGTGAACTACAAGAATTTGAGATGGGAGAGAATGAGCGGAGTGTCATGAAGGGTGTAGGGGTATCTCCGGTATTTGCCGGTAGTGATCATTCATAAATATCATAATAGGATATAGATGGATATAGTTCATACATAATGGAGTTAATTATTTTGATGACGCTTTTGGTTGATTTGACGAGTTACAATTCCTAGCCCGAAATGGATTTGTTTCGGTGTGGAGTGACCATGATTATGACATGTCAGGAACGCCCCGTAGGGCTAGGGTTTGATTGTCCCTGGGTGACCAAAATATAGGTCGGATGGATATCGTTCTTATCGCACGTTAGCTGGGATTTGTTCCAAAATTTGATGGGTTTATATAGACTGAATATGATCCAACTTGTTCACAAACGATGGCAGGAATGCGAGGGTCAGTTGTGTGAACACACCCTGCTGGCCTGTACTCTGGGGCTGCGAAGGCATGTTCAGGGTTTGCAGCTTCAACTGATGGCCATTTCGAGAGTAGCAAAATACAATGATATCACACTTATTCACTGTGCCTTGTCCAATGTACTAATAAGTATAAATTATATATGATTGGGACTCACGCTTTATTATCTATTCCATATTTAATGATTTCAGACTTCTCAATATTCATCGCGATCTATCAGTTGTATGATGTGGGACAAAGATCACCCATCCATTTGGCAAGCATCTAATCAGCCAACCCCATTGGGTCGGGGTGCCATTGGACCGCACATTTGGTCCCAAGACCAGGTTGAAACATAATGCCCCACATCCAAATATGCAGAAACTGGAATCTTGTTGGATAAGGTTAATTTATAGATATGAATAGATGTGATAGGATATACGGAAAAAGGAGATGATTTTCGTCGGAATTCACATCCCCACCTGTCCCCAGCTGCACGATGTGGTCCCCAGGCGAGAACGCAAGGTGAACAGTTGGATTGGCCACGGGGATCCAAGAGAGATATAGAACATGAATGAACATGATAGTTTGTTTCATGGGGGTTACCCTCTCACAACCAAACATGTTTGCTGGAAAAACCACCATTTGTAATAATCTATATAGATGATGTTCATTGATTTCCCTCCTAAAGCACCATTTCTTGTGGATTTGTTCAATGTTTCCAACAGCAGCATGTTCCCATTCGAGCAGCATTGAGTTATCTAGGATTTCCGATTCAATTTCCCAACCATGGAGGGCTGCCAGCAGGATGGTGGTGTGCGTCAACAAGATGGACACCGAGGTGGTTGGCTTCTCCAAGGAGCGCTTCCTGGCGGCCTGCCAGGTGGTTCCTCGGATGGCGGAGAAAGGCAAGGACATGGCGTTGATGGTTAGAGAATGTCAGAGATGGTTAGAGGTTATGAAAGATGATTGGGGATGGTTACAGATGGTTGGAGGTGGTTTGAGATGTTTGAACATGGATTTTAGGATGATTTAAGGCTTTGAACATGATGCAAAATTGATGGAGGCGTTAAGGCTGGATTGGTAACGTGTTTGACAACGTTGAAGGTCAACAGGTGCACAATTTTGTTTCATGCCTGCGACCGTCTTCTTTGCAAGAGACCTTTAGTTTGTTTCTTGCACGAGGCAAGCCGAAAAGCGATCTTTCAAACGTAAAAGAAACCCAAAGCGCAAGCAGACTCAATTGAGCGTCTTTCAGTGCTCCAGAGTGTCTCCAAGGTGCGTGAAGGTCTGAATGCTGCGGGCCTGAAAACCCATGATGTTTACTTCGATGTGCACTTCGTACCCTCATCTGGTTGGTTTGGAGTTCCTCGTTTGCAAGAGGACTTTACTTTCGCGACTCTGATCTATAGTGTTAATGTGTAGCTATGTCTAGCTGAAGGCAGACATTTAAGAGGATGAACCATGAGGAATGTGTAGGGGTGTGTGTGTGTTTGTGGGTGTGTCGGAATTCCACTACCCGCAACATTACCCAGACATTGCCTACATTATTGCTGGTCAAGTCCCAATGCTTCTCCAGTGTGAGTGCGTGACTACATTACTTTGATTTCAGTGACTACAGTATGTCTTTTCAAAAAGATGCACTTCTATGATGAGGTTCAAGTGTGGCAACCGCAAAAGTAAACCCCCCAGGGCCCCAAGATTACAAGGTACCATCTATTTATCTATCCTGTATCCTCCCTGGCTCCCGGGCCAAAAAGGACAATGTCACAAGCCGCTCTGACAATATGCCGTGGTACTGTGGACCGACCTTGATCGAGGCTGCTGGGATGGCCACAAAATGCCCACGGGGTGAACATTTGCCTTGCAGCCCTGCAAAACGACATTATTCCGAGATGTTTCAAATGTTTGTCAAGACCAGGCTGAACTGAGGGGTAATTATGATCGATTATGCATTTCATGTAATTATATTTTAATTATTGCTTTCGTTACAGCCATCGTTGTCAATGTTGTTGTTGTCGTCGTCGTCGACGTCCTCGTGTTTGTTACTATACTATGACTCCTATGACTATATTGCTATTAATTGATATTATTAGTACCTTTATAAACTACTTTTGTACTATCGCTGTTACATTATATATATATATATTGTGTTTTACACTTTTTGTTACTGCTACTGTACTATATATAGTTTTTTGTGCTGTATTTGCTCTTACTACTATTCTAGTTTTATACACACACACGTATCATATATATATTTATATAGAAACGCAGCGTCACGCCGATCTTTGAATGTCTCCCTTGGGAATGGCTTGGGCAGCTGCCTGAGCAGCCCGCAGCCCGGCAGCCCTTGGTGCAGGCACTGGATGAAACAGTGGCCTCTCACTTCAAGCCTGACCGGCCGTTGCGTTTTCCTCTACAAGAGGTGGCCACACTGGGAGGGTGGCAGGGTGGCAGGGCAGCCTTGGAGAAACCCACAAGGGACCAGGCTGGTCATGTTTTGGTCGCAACATGTGGTCAAGTTGTTGTTCCAAAGCTGGAAGGCCCATGATTTGCGGTTATTCCCAGCAGAACTGGCTGGGAATGATTGTGTACCCCGGATGCATCATAATTTCGTGCGTGAGTTTCGCGGATTGTTTTCGGAATCGAAAAGCTTGGGATGATGACTCCCGCAGGTGATGAAGGTGGGCGGCAAAGGCATGGAACAAGGGCGGAGGGGGTCAAGAGATGAGGCCACCCCAGATCCATAAACCCCTTATTATTCTTATTCTCATTATTCAATATGGCGGAAAACCCGAATTTTGTAAACCAATGTCTATCAGTCCAGCGTTGATATCGTGTCTATTGTATCCTGTCATGTTGCTGCTTAATGGTCACAAATATAGGCCAACCGATATGCAGGCACACGCAGGTACATGCAAATATCTATCATCTTCAGTAAGTGGCCCTCACATTCTTTCGTTGATCACTATTTGTTTATTTATGATGCACACGGTGTTTCGTTCACTGTCAATCACGTGGCCTTCATGTGGTTTGACTTTGCACACTTCATTTTTATTCACAAACGAATCGACCTGATTCGGTTAGTATATTTTAAGGTCCAGAAACTGGAAAGGCCAAATGTTGCTGATTTCTTGCACCATTTTTGGGGTTTCCAAATGGGCCGTCGCCAGGTACAGTTGTCGTGGGCCGCGTGGCGACTGGCTCTTTGGTTTGCGGTTCTCGGCTGGTCTTCGCGCCAGGGAATGTCGAGGCGCAGGTGCGCAACAGATGGGAGATCTGGTTGAAGTAGGTGGATGACTTACCAAATGGAAATTTCACCCGAAAAAAAATGGGTTTTGTTTTGAAGTTATGTGAGATATGTGGTGGTTGTTTAGTGGTTTCAAGTTGCCGTAACTTTCAGGTGCACCAGGGATGATAGTTCAAAACAGAATGCGCTGACAGAGTCGAAGCAAGTTTCATGAGATTCAGTTTGTTTTGCAGTGCAAGTTTTTGACAACTTCATAAGATGATGACATCAAGAAAAATGGACAGGGCTATGAATGGGTGGGTGTAGAATAGGATATTCATAACTATTCATGGTGGTAAGATGGGGATACAATACAATGGGATAGGAATGAGATAGCAATGGTTTTGCCCGAAAATGGACGAGCCCCTTCATTGTGCCCATGTTGGTCGGGAAAACCGTCAAGAACCGGTGCATGGAATTGTCTTTTGCCCCCAAAATGCTCGGACAAACCCGTTGCTATCTCATTCCTATCACGTTGTATCCCCATCATACCACCATTGATATCCCATTATATATATATAGTCATTACAACCCCATGATATACCTCATTCATATCCCATTATACACCCATTAATAGCCCTATCCATTGTAACCCCATGAGCAAAATCCCATGTGGTTTCCTATGTCATGGGCGTACCCCCAGTTCTCATCCATTGATCCTTGTTTTTTTTCCGGAGTGTCCATGAAATAAGCCATCCAGCTATGATCCACCATGACCCGCGGCAGGTGACTTCCATTACCATGCAGCACGAGGAACTCGCTGAGGCGCAAATATTCAGGGCTCAGTTCACCAGCAGGGCCGGATTATCATGAGCATCATGACAAAAGCATGGTATTTGGGTATGGCCCCAGGGTTGAAATACCCTATGCATCCTATGCGTTGATTAGTTTAATTGGATTAATGTTTGTCACATGACAAGACAGCGAAACCAGTGGATCGTATCAAATCTATTCAATTCATTCAATTCTTTGGTTCCAGCTGGCAGCATCAGAAGCGAGTATGAGTAGATTTGTTGGTTGTTCATTTTCTGTGGAAACTTGTGCATCCTACACGCATCTATGACACCACAGCTTTCGGTCTTTGAGCATGAGCATTGTTGATTGTTGATGGTTGATTCTTATAGTTGTGGCAAAACCTATGAAATTACATGAAATTACCACATGGTGGAATTAACATCCAGTATACCAGCTATAACTTAGGGTACCATCCGGATTTTGACCCATACCTACTTCTTCAAACCCCACACGTCGCAGGCATTCAGTGGGCACATGGTCTCAGTGACGGTGGATGTTGAAATGAGCGAACTCAAACGAGGCCTCCATGGGCTACTGGTGGGCCCCATGGATCACGCAAGAGCTTATGTATTTGTGATTCGATTTTAAGTTGTTTTTTCCCCTCTCCTCATGAACATGATATATATCTATATATATATGCGAATTTAAACAGAACGACTATATCTAAATGTGTATATGTGTCAAGATGGGAGGTTTGACTAGCAAACAGGTAGAAACACAATAAACTAAGAATGGAACATTGATATTATCCAAAGAGGTATTCGGAATTGAGAAGAACTTACCGGCCCCCGGTTGGTTAATTTTGACCTAGGAGGGTTATGGAGGGCTTGTCTTCATGTTGACTGATTTTCAATTTTTGTAGTTCTTGGTGCATATACGTATCGCTCGTAATTTGTACGGTGTCATTTTGCAAGCCATTTTTGCATGCATGACATTTAAGTGCGAACAGATATACTATCTTGTATTGAATTTGTGTGTGCTGTTGAAATTTATGTTCACAGGGAAGGCATTGGTTTTTCCCTGACTTTGATGTATTTCAGGGCATATGCAGACAGCCAGGAAAAGTGACGGCACAACTCCTAGAGGGCCCAACTGAGTTTCCATTGTCCATACGGCTGGGGCCGCAGCTGAAGTGCCACCCATGAGTGACAAGATTTTGGAGAAACAGTGGCCCTTTCTGGCTGAAGAATTGTCAGTCTCTCTCTTACTCTTCATGACAGTCATGTTCAAGGCCCTAGACTCTACTTGGAGGATCATCCCACTTAGTAAGTGGTTTATTTATAAGTATTTATAGCCATAGTTCCATTTATAGATGGGAAAACTTACTGAGGGATATTTAGGGGACTTACCAACCAGGCTTAACATGAGTTATTAACTACTTACTGTCTTAAGATCATGTTTTTTGACCATGTTGCCCCGTTGTCCATGCACAACTTCCGCAACAACAAAAACGCAGGAATGGTTGGATCTGCTGTAGATGACAATCCTGCTCGAGAGCACCTCGGCAAACACCACACCCCGGTTGGCAACCCCTAGGGTACCGTCAAATCCAGTGACTTGCCCTCTGGTAATTTAACATAGCTATTGGGAATTGTGATTTATGGTTGATTTACCATGATTTACCTATTAAAAATGGTGATTTTCCAGTTCGCTATGTTAGTTCATCATAAGTTTCCATGGGCATTCTTCATTTATGGACGCCCATGGGGCCCCTAAGCCAAATGCTCGAAAAATGTTGGAAACCAACGGCTTCCCTGGAGGGTACATCCTATCGTATTCCAATTCAATAGAACGGTTGGTTCATACCGTTGTTTGATTTGTCAAACACCTTGCCAAATAGAGGACTGGCAACTGTTAGGATATATATTAATGTCTTGGAGAGTCAACTATTTCTGTATGAAACCAGTACATAAATCCAATCCCATCAGGTTTTACAGCTCCAGTCCTCCAAGGTGCAGCTCCTTCATTGCACAAGTCATCGTTCTGAGTGATCCACGCGCTGGTGCCATTCGTGCCGGCAGCGAGCTCACGGTGCTGTGTCGCTCGGCCTGTCTATCGACCAAAAGCAACTGAATGGTGTAGATGAAAATCTCGGCGATCTCCCCGATGTTGCTTTGCAATCATTTCAACCACCCTGAGCATCGAATATTGATTGTAATCAATAAGATAACAAAGATATTGATTTTGGATTTTTTTCAATATTTCTAATTGATTTAGTTTGCCATGAAAATCAATAAGGAAATCAATAGCCAAAACAACTTTTGTAGGGCTTGAAATCAATAGCAAACAGCAGTAGTTTGACCTTGTAAATCAATACAGTTCAAGGCCAAGGATATAGAGTTCAGCAGCCTAAGGAGCTCCAAAATTGCTCTTTTTTTCCACTTGTCAAAGCTCCATAGGCCATCCTTTTGTCAAGGAGGCTTAGGCCTACCTTTTGGCAAGGTAAACCATGCAAGGTGAAACAGGATTTCTAGCAACTTCCTTTTGCCAAGAAGGCACAAGCATGTGCAGATTCCCTTTTGTCAAGGAAAAGGCTAGTACTCTAGGTCACTGTCTGGTGTGACAGCTCCTATTTCAAAGCCAAGCCTGGTGAGCTGCATATGGAGCAAAATTTGATATTTCACCAAAAGTTTAGCACTTAGCCTTGTGCTTTTCACTCCCATTGCAATTGAACTTCCCAATCGTGACACCCTGCCAACAAAGTCCTCTGCTCTGAAATTCCATGTATACTTGGGATTCAAAAATTGAAAATTTTTGATGAGGTGGTGCATGGCATGGAACTTCCAAACTATATGATAGAGCTTTCTATCATTTTCTTGGGCCCACTGGTTGAGGCCCCAATAGTGCTCACAAAACCTTTTGTCAAGGTTGAGAGCTTCAAGGTGTTCCTCTTGGGTGGGGAACATATCGGCTCTGTCAATCAAATTCACCAACTCAACCATTGACTGCAAAGCTCCTACCATGTGCTGGTGCAATGCACCATCTGCATCCAGCATTGCTTTGAGAACTGGAAGAAAAGCTGCCAAGAGGTGTTTTGTTTCAGCACCTTTGCAGTCAAGCTTTGGGTACTCTTTGTGTGGCTGCCTTGGATCACAAATCATTGAGAGTTTCAGATTTGTTAATCTTGTGCTGGAACCGAGCAATCTGTAATTTTCTTGGACCTGGCTGAAGATAAGTGCTAGTCTATCACCAGGTTTCTTGGTCTGTTTTCCTTTTCCTTGAAAATAACAGAGATGGTGCAGCAAAGATCCCAATAGATGATTGCAAACACCTTTGCAAAACAACACATGCAAACCGTCCTGCCTCACCATCCTAGTGGTCAGCCCTGGGATGTTGAATAAGGGGTGGGCATGGCCTTTTGTCAAGGCTGCAGGTGTATCGATGTATTCATAATTCTGGTCATTGGCCAAAAGAAGTTTGAAACTCTTGCCTGCTGGGCAGGGTTCCTTTTTGATCATTGGCTGCATACAGTCGCACTCATGGCAAGGTGAGTAATTGTTCCAGTGGGGCAAGGACAGGATGTTGGAGAACATCTCCTGATCTCCTTGCACTGACCAGATGCAGCATCTGAACCCCCTTTGTGTCAAAGGTTGCCCAGCAAGCTTTTCAAACACAGACCCTTTTGGCAAGGGTCCATTGTCTGGGCCATAGGATGGATGCACCCCATCCTGCAAAGCTTCAAAGGACCATAGGATCCAATCCATCAAGGGTTTCCAAGTTTTGTCATGTATAGTACAAGATTTGGGAAACCCAGCAATCAAGAAGTGAGAAGTGAGGCTGCTGTATGCATTGAGGAAGCCACCCCAATTCCAAACCAGCAAAGAATCTCTTTGCTGGTACTCTACACCATCAGCATGCAAAAAGAGTGGTATGGTGAGGGACTTGTCCTGCACCTTTCCTTTGGCAACCCCAGTCCTTTTGTCAAGGCATATGGGGTGAGCCATGAGCCTGTCATCTTTCACATACTCGACACCTTGCCAAAAACTTTCGAGGTCTTCCACACCAAAGATTTTGTCAAACTGGTCTGGATAGTGGTTGAAAATATCTGAAAACAGCAGGTGAGGGAGCATGACACCAGCCATGTCCAAACAAGGCTTGGAAGTTTTAGGGTCTTGGCATTCTGTTTCCACAGATATTCCCTTGCTGATTCGGCAATCTTTGAGGAATTGTGCACACATATCTCTATGCACATTTCCTCCCTGGGCCCCAAAAGACCCTGTTGCTGCTATTCTCTGAAGGTCTTGGCCTTGAGCACCATCTAGAATGGCTTTGTGTGCCACTTCCTGCACTAGCTTGGCACTCAGCTGCCCATGGCTCCAAAGAGATAGCAGCAGCTCAGACAAGCCCCCTTTGGATCCTTCCCCTTTTCCTTTTGTCAAGGTTCCAGGGATTTGCTTAGCCACTTCCAAATCTGTACCCCTCAGCCTCTTTACTGGCTTCATGGTGGTGACACTAAAGAAAAAACCTTTTGGCAAGGCATGCTTTCCTTTAAGGAAAAGCTTGAACCAAAACCTTGCACAAAACATGCTTTAGACACCCCTTGGCCACACCAACCTTTTAGAGCCCTTAAGCCAACCTGCTGGTTCTCCCAAACTTTGTGGTCCCCATGTATTTTCAAAGTTTTGGTGAAACCCAATACCCCCAAAAAACACGGTGATTTGGTGGTGGATTACACCCTAAGCCACTGCTTGGTTGTACTGCAGCACTTTTTGAGCTTGGTGCCTCAAATCTGTTTGTCCAACACAAACCCTTCACCACCCCTTTGGTCAAGGAGGGAAAGGTGTAAACCAGTTGGGGTGCAAATCACCTTTTGTCAAGGCAATAAGCTGTGCAAGCCATTTCCTTTTGGCAAGGGAATGGCATCATCAAAAAAAGGCTACCCCTTGCCACAGCCAGCTATACATGGACCCTTTTGTCAAGGGTCCAAAGGGCCCTTTAGACAAGGGCCACCTGTGGCTGCTGGTTGTTCTAGTTCTTGCTGGTTTTGGAAAAACTTCTGTTTGCCAATGCTCTGAACTCTTTCACCTCCTTTTTGATTTTGTTGGTGGCTGCCACTGCACCTATGATGTTTTGCTTTGCTGACTCCACATTGCCTCCCTTGCTTTTGCTTGTTATTGCCTTGAGCTTTTGCTCCCACTCCTGGGCTTCTTTCAAAGCTAAGGTGGCATCTTTCCTGTCCTGCTTGGAAGTTCTGCCTGCTGCAGTGGCAGCATCCAAAGCTTCTTGCAAATTGGCCATGGCCACCCTCAGCTGTTCTTTGCTCTTTTGTGCCTTTGTCAAGCACTCAGCCCATTCTTCTTCTGGTGTTTTCTTGTCCTTATCTTCATCTTTGCTATTCTCATCTTCACCATTGGTAAGGGCCAGCAAGCTTTTGGCCCTTCCTTTTCCCTTACCTTTTGGCAAGGTATCTTTTTTGCCTTTTGTCAAGGCACCTTGGCCTTTGAAAGCAACCTCAGCTTCTTGCATGCTGGCCAAAGCCCCCTTGCCCCAAAAGGCCAAAAACTCCTTTTCATCTTCTTCTGTTTCCAATTCCCTTTCCTGGCCTGCTGTCACTTTGTTTTTCCTTTTCAATACTGTTTGTTTGCTTTGGTCTCCTTGGTCGCAATAATTGTACACTCCAGGTGTCCATGGGTCAGACCTCCAAAGAATCCTGCCACTGTTCAAGTGCATGGTGAACTCTTCCTGGCTGAATTCTTGCAGCATTTTCATCTCACTGACCCATTTCTCACCTTTTGTCAAGGTTTCACTTGCTTCTTTGGAAGCTTCTGTGTGGAAGAACATACCTTTCTTGTGCTTGAGAAACCAAAGGACTACCTCAAGCCCTTTTTCCTTTTTTGTGAGTTGCTCATGGGCTGATCTCTCTTCTGGCTTGGCTTTCAAATATGTTTGGTGTTTTGACCACATCTTGGCAGATTCATCTTTTGTCAAGGAATCTTTCAAGGCCAAGGCAGCTTCCTCTGGAGACTGGTTTTCCTCACTCACTTTTTTCACTCTCTCATCCAAACTCAGTTTGCCAAGCTTGGCAAGGTCACCTTTTGTCAAGGTGCTTTTCTGTTTTTTACCTTTTGCCTTGGCTTTGCCCTTTGGGCAAGGGAAAGCTTTGGCTGCAGGTTTCTTCAAAATTCCTTTCCACGCATGATTTTTTTTGGTGGCATGGAGCCTGGAAGCCAAACCTTTTGTCAAGGCTTGGGTAAAAAAATGTGGTCAAGGATAGCGGTATTTGTCTTGGGCCAAAAATATAGCTATGCCAAAGAGTTCAAACTAATGAACCAGAGTTTTCATGCACAGCCAGCCTTGACAAAAGGCTTTAAAAAAAACAGTGAACCTTGAATTTCACCTCAAATTTCAACAGTTTCCAAAATATTCTGGCCAAAAACTAGCCAATACCATTTTGATTAATTTTGACCAATTTTGACCAAATTTGACCAAATTTGACCAAATCATCAATTTTGGTCAAATTTGGTCAAATTTGTATTTTTGTTTTTTTTTTTTAATGAAAGCATTGTTGAGCACCTTTTGCCAAGGTTGAGAGCCATCAAGCCCTGACTAGTTGGGCCTTAACAATTGTTTTTTTATCCCAAAGAAGCAACATTGAACCCATGATGATTTCCTGAATTCTGTGCACTTTAGTTGGATTGCTAATATGAATTTCAGGTTTCATGAAATTGAAATCCTTGAGAAATGTTGTGTTCAGAATTTATTGCAAACCTGGTTTAACAAATGTTTCCAAGCATTCATTTGATGGGCTAAAAGTTTTACATGACCTTATTGCACATGTATATTTCTATTTATTCTTGAATTTATATGCATGAAATATTTTCCATTGTTGTTCCAACCTGTGAACATATCAAAAAATGTACACAAACAAAAAAAGAAACAATATACATAACTTCTTTAATAATATAAAAATAGTTTAATTTAATAATTCATTGGTTACATATATTTGTTTATTTATTTATTTATTGATTCATTCATTTATTTATTTGTTTACTTGTTTATTTATTTATTTATTTCACTTTTGCTTATTTGATTTATTGGGTCTTCACCAGGGCCACCACCTTGTGTCAAGGAGGGGCTTGAAACCCAACTGCAGCCACCATCTCTTTTGTCAAGAGGCAGTGGCATTTTTCAAAAAAAAACGCTACAGCCACCATCTCTTTTGTCAAGAGGCAGTGGCATTTCTCAAAAAAAACACTACAGGCATATCTCTTTTGTCAAGAGACCTGCCAGTGAGGACTGTACAGAGTGTGGGGTAGCTGTGCAGCTTCATGGGATGCCATTTTCTTCCTTTTGTCAAGGAGCAGTGCAGCTCAAGTGTTTCAGCTCACCTTTTGTCAAGGAAAGCTTGCACAGCCTGGGCAAAGGACCTGTAGGTATCAATCCCTTCCCAGTATTTCTCATCCCACTTGGACACCACAGGGTATGTTTCAACACCCCATCTGCTGCATTCATCAATGACCTCCCAGGTGTCATCAAAGACGGTTTTGATGTTGTGGTAATAGCAGGCCTGTGCTTTTCCATAGTTTCCAGTCTTCTCTGTTGTGTAGATTTGCTTTTCCCAGCCCTGCCATACCTTCCAGCTCAGTCTCTTGGTTGCTTGGGCTCTGTCCCACCCTGAGAAACTGCAAAGGTAGACCTGGTACCCAGCATCTTTCAAAGCATCCAAGGCCCTGATGTTTTGTGGGGACACATTGTCATGCCATTCCAGGGTGTGGTGCCAATCCACTGCGACCTTTTCAGCTTCTTGCAGAGCCAAGGGTGGGCTTTCTTTTTGAACCCATTTTTTTTGACCCCTTTTGTCAAGGGGTGACTGGCTTCTGCTTTTCTTGGGGGGTGACTCCTCAGATTCACTTTCAGTCTCAGTGTAGTACTCATACTCACTGGAGCTAGAAGCACCCCAATCCACAACCTCTTGCACTGGTGGCTTTTTTTTCCTCTCAGGCTCCTTCCCTTTCTTAAGTTGCTCTTTGGATGGCCCAAAAGTCTTTGGTGCATCACTGCCTTTTGTCAAGGCATCTTTCTGTTCTGGTGCATCACTGCCTTTTGTCAAGGCATCTTTCTGTTCTGCTGCTGTGGGCTCCTCCTTTACAACTGTTTTGTCAACAGCTGCTTCCTTCACATCCTCCGGTTTGACAGCTTTTTTGTCAAAAGCTGCATGTTTTTCTTTTTCCATGTCCTTTTTCAATTCTGCCTTCTCTTCTTTGCTGGCCAAGTTATACTTGATCTCCAAGGCTGACATCAGGTGTGGTTTCTTGTTGCCATGTCTCTTGTCTTTCTCCCAGTCAACCTTCTTGGAGTGTTCATCTTCTTTTTCCATAGTGTCATTCTCTCTTTTCATTCCTGCTTCTCTAAACCTGGCCCTTCTTGCATTGCTCACAGTGCCTGACCCAGCTTTTTTCCCTTTGTTGTTCTTCATCCTTTTGGCAAGGATGCTGCACAACAAGGCCTTTGGTCAAGGCACAAGGCTGCTACCCCCACAGGCACCTTTGGTCAAGGTGCTGTGGAAAACAAGGTTTGAGCAAAAAAGGTGCTGGAGAAAACAAACAGATGGCCACAGCACTGGTGCAAGGAACCCTTTTGTCAAGGGCCCACAACATGCTGAAGTGCTAACCTTTGGGGGTGGCATGTTGTTTTGAAATGGGAGGGTGAAAACACTGATGGCTAGCCCCTAAAACCCAAAGAGTTCGATTGTTTCTTTGAGAAGATTGTGGGAAACCAAACCATCACAACACTGTAATCTGTCCATATCAAAATGGTATCCCCCACAAATTCTTTGAATAAACTAATATTGGCTAACTTGGATTTAGGTGCACATATGCCTTTGTTGTTGTTGTTTTTTTTTAATTGCCCTTCTCCAAAAAAAACAGTATGCATAGGTAAACCAACACATACACATATGTATACCACCATATTTAATTGCCTATGTATGCTTATGCAATATCCATCATTTTGCAAACACCTTAGGAATATATATATATATTATATATATTTACAGGTGATGATTCAACACAACCTAGATGGTTGGTATTGAAACTTGAGCATGTTTTGCAGTTTTTGGCTTTGTTTTTCTGTTTGGCAAATGGCTGCACAAGTCCCTTTTGGCAAGGGCAACTATAGTGAAACCTTTGCCATGGGGCCAGCCCCTTTTGTCAAGGAGATGGTGCCACTTGCAACACCACACCTTTTTTCAAGGTAGGCAGCTGCTTAAAAATTGGAAAACATGGTCACCAGCCCAGGAGCTCAGCCCTGCTCTTGATGGCTTCTTCCTTGGTGATGTGTTCATTTTCAAGCTTTCTTTTGATGATCCCAATGACCTCTCTGTACTTTGGGCTTTGCTTTCTGGTAACCTCAATGATGAGCTGTGCTTTCTTCCCTGGCCCTGTGCTGCCTGTCAAGTAGGCCCTTTCTGGGTTGGTTGGGTATGTAACATACACCTTGTGCCAGGGTTTTCTGTTGCTGCTTGGGCTGGCTGTGCTGCTTGCAGGTTTTTTTTTGCTGCTTTTTTTTGATGTTGATTCCTTTTTGGTCCCTAGCCCCATGGCTTTTGTCAAGCCTGTGTCTTTGTCTTGGGGCTTCCATGATGAAGATTGGGCAGCCAGCTTATAACCCTTCCTCCTCTTCATGAAAGAACCACCTTTTGGCAAGGGGTCAGCTTTGGATGGCAAGGGTTCTGACTGGCCAGGGCTATTCAGACAAGCTGGGAACCCTGATGAGTTCAAACTTACATCACTTTCATGTTTCTGCAGCTTCCTCCTTTTGTCAAGGGGAGGTGTCTCTGCCTTCTGTTCTTCCTCCTCTTCCTCCTCTTCCTCCTCTCCCTCCTCTCCCTCCTCTTCTTTTCCCTCCTCCATACCCCTTTTGTCAAGAGGCTCCTCCTTATCTCTTTTGTCAAGAGGCTCACCATTACAACTATCATTTCCCAGCATGCTTACCAAATTTTTAAGCTGGAGGGAATCCTTTCCTGTCAGTTTCCCCACACACTTTCTCATTTCTTCTTCTGATTTCAACCTTCTCAAGTGTAGCAAAATGACTGTCACCCTCTCAGCCCTCATGTTTGTCCATACTTGGCAATTCCAGTCGGTTTGGTTCATTGCAGGTTTCTCTTGTACCAGTTTCATGATGCTTTGTCTCAGGGGGTTGGGGTGAATTTCCCCAGAAGGAGAAATTTTCAGCAGGTCTTCAAGAAGTGGCAGACAGTGGATGAGACCTTTGGCATCAGTTGCTTGGCTCCTAGAGACTGTCTCATATGCTCCAAAGCTTTTGAGCAGCTCTTCATGTGTGTGAAAAGCCTTGTAGAGAAGGTATGGGTCCACATAGGGTTTGGCAAAATGTTTGTGCCCCCCTTTGCCACTCATTCTCAACCCACCCTTTTGTCAAGAGAGGATTGAACAAAGAACCTTTTGTCAAGGCACACAGCTGGTGACAATGAATAAACCTTTGCAAGCAACCTTCTGTCAAGGCAGCTGCACAGCCTTTGGACAAGGCTGAGGGTGAGACACAAAAGGTCCCTTTCTGAAGCCACAAAACTGCAGGTTCTCAATTGATGAAGCCAAGAGAAATCAATAAGAAAAGCATTTAACATCAGCTTGAAAATCAATAGGGAAAACCAATGGAAAACACATGAAAATCAATATGTGCACCAAATCAGATCAATACAAAAAGATCAGTTTGCAATTGATTTTTTCAATAGGAACCATGAAAATCAATATCAATAAGAAATTGTCTGATCTTATTGATTACAATCAATATCCGATGCTCAGGGCATCATATTTCCCATATAGTTAGCATAATAATATAAGACTTTTTTCCCCCATATATAGTATAATGCCTTTTAGATATATTTATTTTACTCAAATAGCATATGTTCGAATATCTTTGGGATACGGCGCAGATCCCCATCATGCCGCAGAGCCCAGGTCACACAGCACAGGTGTTGTGCAGCTTCAGTGAGCTCTTGTCGCGCACGGACCGGCGCACAGGTGCACGGTGCACCGGTTAGATCCGCCTCGGCCGAGAACCGTGGGACAATGTGGTGAAGACAAGAAATAGAATGGCTGATATGATGACTCATATAGTTGGGATAATGAATCTATGTGTTGAAGGAATTTAATGTGGTGAACGCAAGGTGAATCATGCCCAGACAATTTCATCATGCAGATGCTTTGCAGGCCTTAAACAATATGTATATAATTACTAGCCAAAACAGATATGTTTGTTTGGTTCTTGAGTTTGGAACTTGACCGGAGCTCATATAGGAATTATGTTTGCATGTCGCTTACCAAAGGGAGCGTTGGGGGGCAACCAAGAACAGGCAAAGAACATCAAAGACCCTAATGACTACCCTCGCGGAGGAGGTTGATACCCACACTTCGGTTTGTTTTGAAAATAGGATACTCCTAGCAGTGGTTTTCCTGATAGTCTATGACCCAGGCATACAGGACTGTCAGCCCTGGAGTAAACGAGCAGCCCATTTGAATGGCAGGTGTTGAATTTGGGGTGTGGGCTCCGTATTCTCTTTGTTATGAAGGGATGAACACTCACCAGGGATTTGAAAGTAAGGAGCTCCCTTGTCCTGGGTTGACAATATTATAAGGTCAAGTTGAATTGACTTGTTGTTTTTTTAAGTGAATGTTTATGGCTGCAGTAACAACTAATATGTATCACTGTTCTTTTTGCATCAATCACTTTGTTTATGCATGGGATTATCGCACATGTTCATTACCAACTCATGATCTATTCTTATTGGTAATGTTATATAAATATACATATATATATATATATACATATTCACACTTCACACCAAACGGTAAATTTATAAACATATTGATTGTTTGGATCCTTGTTGAACAATTTTCCAATTATATATATCTTATGCACTTTTGTTTCGCAGCTTTCCAGTCCAGTGTAGAGCCCCAGGATTCCAAATCACAAACTCAACCCCCCCGGTTCATCATTGGTTGATACAGCAAACGTTCCATTTGTTTTGTTTGTTGGGGTTCCACTTAGAAGGGGATTATTGATTTAATCATAATCATTTTTTCATCATTTCTCATACGTCTATAATATTTCCACGTTAGATCCATCAGCTGCAGCAGTTGGGTCAATACATCCACCAAAATCCTTGATTTAGCCCTGGAATTGTTCATTTTGGGCTCCTAGTGGGGTGAATTGAAAGCAACTCCGATGATGTATTTGCTCTTGTTCATACAATATTTCAAAGATTGTTGTGTGTTTCCTTTATTTTCCATCTATCAATTTTTCCATATCAATTTGATAGAAATAGTCAGTAGTAAGTAGTAAGTAATAACATCATTTGAAAAGAACATACAGTACATAGTCCCATTCGCCATTGGTTGAATAATATCATTTGCAACCTTAAGCCAGTTGATAGCTTTATCAGGCTTTATCAATCTTTATCATCAATCCATATCAATCCTGCCACCCTCCATTTCTCCAACATCTCCAAGATCTGCAAAGCCAGGCGTAGTGCTCGGCTCCAATCCCTCTCAGCTGGCTGCGGGTGACGCTGCCGTGGTGCGCTTGAAGCCGCTCTCCACGCCACTCTGTGTGGAGGCCTTTGAGGTGCCCCGGGGCCGGCGCCAACTGGGCCCCTCCAGCCCCTTCAAGGTGCAGTCGGACTTTAACATGGCTATAAAGGGCTATAACTTGGGATATACCATGATATGATATATCTCCTATAACTATGGCTGAAGCCCATGGCTGAGAAGTTCCGGTGGCTTGGTTTTCCGTGTTGAAATGAAGAGCAAGTTGAATTAAGCTAGTTGTTTTTTTGGGGGTTGGAGTGGTAAGGAAATTATCCAAGATTGACTATGCCCAAAGGTTCCCCCGAAACTGAGGTAAGTTTTTTATTCAAATACGGTTTCAGGGTATTATTTTTCAAATCACTACCGCGGCCTTGTCGTTCCAGGAATACCCTGCCCTTGGCCGTTTTTCGGTGCACGACCAGAAGATCACAGTGGCGGTTGGAGTGATCCAAAAGGCGGGGTTGAGATATTGCTATCTTCCAGTTTTGAACCAGAAACTTTCCCGGATAATGGCGGAGCGTGACGCCAGGTGGATCAGTTGGCTCCTTGGACACGAGCACCTCGTGTCTTGAGGTCCAGCCGCTGGCTCAAGTGGTTCATGGTTCAATGGGAAGAATATTTGCCACATGCTTATATCATCTTACAATAATTATATCGAGAGTTTTGCTTTGTGAATTTCAGTTCAGTAGATGTATGTGGGCCCAAGATCTGAAGATGAAAGCAGGACAATGAGCTCCTAAGAATGTGTTTTTCTCCAGATTTACAAGCCAGCTCGATGAAACATATTGGATGTTGAATATGGACTTGTTTATTTTGCCTTGAATTGGTTGCTTGAAGCGGTGACTCCCTAAGGCGCTCCCAAAGCGCGAGCCTTGAAACCGAGCAAAGCTCGTGACCGAGCGAAGCTCATGGATTCCGGGGAGGAGCAGGCGCCCAAGATAGCAAAATTTGGCAGATAGCAAAGACATGCAAAGACAGTTTGGGAAGATGTTCAAGATGTTTCATGTCTCAAGTCATCGAAGATGTAACATGATATATATAACTGAAGAAGGACAAGGCGATTCGTAGCCAAATGACTGGTCAATTGGATTCAAGCAGGCAGTTGCGCATATCTGCAGTGTGCAGTGAGCTTCCATTCTACCATTTTCTGGGCGCGGGAAACTTCCAACGGAAGGTCCCTATTTGTCGATGTGATTTTCTGAGGCATGTCTCTTTGCTATTTTGCCTTAGGGAACAAGAAGTCAACATCAATCAGCAATTTTGGGATATGTTTGGATGTTCGGTAGACCGAAGAAATCAGGAAAGTTCAATATTCTTGGAAGCACCCTAACCCGATTCCGTCCACAATCTCCAAACAACCAGAAGCAACCACTTAAATTCGTGCTCGTTGAAGATGAGATATCGTGGGTTTCAGCCGCAAATGTTCCCACATCAAGATCTTTTTGCTCATTCCGAAATTCCAGTATTTTTCCCACATTTTTCCCGGGCAGAACGCCAGGAGCCAGCCATGCCCCATGGCTCTGCCAGCCCTCCTTCCGCTCCGCTGGGAGCCACCTGGCAGGCCTGGAAGGCGTGCTAACCCGGACCTTCCCATTGGATCACGTAGAGGTTTCCCAAGATGGACCCCCAAATTATCCATTTATATCATTTATAGATTGATTTTCCATTACAAACCATCCAGCTATTGGGGTACCATCATTTTAGGAAACCATCATGTGTTGTTTTTATGTTTTGGTAGTTGCCTGGGCAGTGGGTTCTGGAGTGTCAGACCCCTGTGCTGACTTTCTGGAGCCTAGGGCTGCTGAGCCGGGCTGATTTGACCATGGGAGAATTTATCATTTGATTTTATCTATAAAATGTGGTTTCAGATGGGGATGGTATAATGATACTTCAAGAAATATGACAATGAGATACAATGAGGGTTTTGATGGTTTATATGACCAACACTTGGGATTTAACTGCTTATATATGGGTTTGCCAGAAAATGTTTGGATATGTTTGGATAAAATTGTGATTTCCATACGCCATCCCAGACCACTGAACATAATGAAATGGATCAGCGAAGAGGTACATCAGTCGGGCGAGTTGTCAACGCAGGAAAACCCAATAAACAACCTCCAAGTGGGGATGGTTTTACAACCAATCAATGTATAGTAGTAAAATTGAAGATGGTTTAGCATTGGGTTTGCCACATTTAATTTATGACAATGCTGGATGTAGATTTGGATGGCATACGTAAATACATATCGATTTTGAAGCAATGACTTTGGGGATATCTCAGGTGTATTTGAGGGATGCAATCCCATCGGTACGTGGAAATAGCACAATCACAATGCTCACATGGGAAGATCAACAAATGGCTGTGGATGAAATTATTTTGACAAAATCTACTGTAAATGGAAAGGGTTAATACTAAAAGTCATCAACGGTTTGTGTTCCAGAATTGGTATATGAAAAATGCAGTAATCACCTAGGACACCCCTATATGTGGAGTTCAACAACAAGGATTTCCGCTTTTTTTCCCAGAAATCAGTCCACATTCCCAGACATTTGTTAGCTAGCTTCCATTTCTTGGTAGCTAAACCATGTGAATTCTTTTTGTTTGGTTTACAGTAAATCCTTATTCTTGGTTGTCAAATCATGTTGAACTTCTTTTTGGTATATAGTTAAATTGTGTTTTTTGATATATTAATCCGCATTTTTTTGTTGATGAAATCTCAATTTTGGGCTAGCTACAGTACATCATTAACACCTTATGTTTGTTGCTTAAACCATCCCGATTTCAGGCAGCACCTCCCCAGTCTTTGGCAGCAGCGCCACATGGCTACCCCACGCAGGCGAGCGTTTCAGAACTTGGGATCAGATCAGAGGCAGTTTTTTTAATAGTATAGTTAATGTTTCATGAACATGTAGCCCTGTTCCATACATGCATGTGGATTATGGTATGTATATATATATATATATATGTATGTATGTATGTGTGTGTTTTAACACAGTTACAAGGTGCAGTTATAGCCCTCAACAATTGCAACTGGCTTAGATAACCTCATTTAAGTGATATATAACCTTCGTTACGGGAGTTATAATCACATTTATAGGTGTTAAGGGTCATAACTGTGAGGCCTCCTAGAGCCAAGCTGAATGCTAACCAGGTTAACTACCTTGTATGTATGTAATCTAATGCAATGCTATGTTATGTTATGTTATGTTGTGTATGTACGTGTACACATGTGTGTTAATTGATGGTTGAGTCATGGTTGAGTCAATCATATTTCAGATCTGCTTGTAATGGTAAGCATACGTTCTTTAGCAACCCACAAATAGATATATAAATTTCAAAATCTGGGAAATGTGGAGGAAACACCACCTGCAATGTCCTAGAAACACGTTTCTATTTGTATATATATATATATATATTTACATTATTATATTATATTATATTGGCCGTGATTATATATATATATATGTGTGTGTGTCCGGGTTTATAATTCAAAGTAACTTTTTAAAAATCTGTAAGAATTAGGATGGTGGTAAATGAAAATGATATAACTCAATGCATTAAGTTGATAGCAATGACCATTGAATTACCCATTTTCATAGTAACTGATACCAATATCAACCAACAGACGTGCCACAGTCAAGAGATACCAATCTATACGTAACATATCAACATATATCAACTTGCAATAGATGTGCCAAGGTTTTGGATACACTGCCCACCATTTCCGTGCCAGTGGATCATATGGGGGATGGTCATCCCATCTTCCAGATGGGTTCATATACTGTACCAATGAAGTTTGGATTTGCAATAGATAATGGTGGGATGACAATAAACCACATGTTTTGACTCACGTATTGATCTGTTACGTGGAAATTCAACAACAAAATATAAGGATTACAGTATATGACGGCATATGTACATATGCAGAAGCAGACATTTGTGCTAAAGAACCAACCTCAGACGAAATGAAACATGTTTTTTTTTGTGTTTGCTATTCTTGAGTAGAACGGCATTTATTTTGCCTACATTTAGAAAACGATCCCAAAGCAACTTTGGTGAAGAAGTCCCAGAAAAGTTGGAAGCGGCAAATTAAGGAAACCTGGATAGGAAGCACCTGACCCTTGACTCGAACTTTCCAGTCCCGTGGCGGTCTCCCTCGCTTCCTTTTGACGGCCTCAGCCCAAAGACGGGTTTCATCATTCATGAGGTCAGGTTAGAGAAGATGCGTCAACAGGACACTCATGAAACCAGCACATGTTGGCCCTGCAAGACCATTTGTAGATGGTTGGATGGAATAGATAGATAGTAGGTAAGCAGACAGGTAGAAATTGATTGCATTGGCTGGAATGAGTCGTCCCGAGTCTCGATAGGATAGGTTAGAGCTCATTGATATCGCCATTGCTGGCGCTTCAAACATCAAATCAGGGTTTTGGAAGTTCGCGGCTTTGAAAGGTCAAAAGATTAGTAACTAAGTATATAATTAAGATATCATATACTAAGATTGGCAACTCGCAGTTTAGATATTTCAAATTCTCAGTTCGTTTGGAAGACTTTTCTTCCCTAAGGTAACAAGAAGGACCTTAGACTTAGTGGCAGCTCTCTGACCTTCAATCCACCACAGAACCGAAAAAAATCCGAAGAACAAAGTCACATAGAACAACAAGAAGCACATAGAATTAACATAAATCAATATACATAAATCCATCTAATCGTATATACAGAAATCATCCTATAGGTTTCCCAGTTCTGTTTTTCTCGCCTGGCAGACCTTGTCGCCTTTCGCCGCCTTTGGTGCAGTGGCCGCCAGCCAGGCGACCGTGACCGCGGAGCGATGGGATGATTCAAATGTTTGGGGTGGTGGATCCACGAAACAACAGTCATCTTGTCAATGAAAAATCATGGTTTAACCATAGTCAACCAGTGATTCAACCAGAAACAAACGGAAGTATTAAGTATAAGATGTTATTAGTATATGATTGATTCATGTGACTTGCAGTGAATTGGTTTAGAACTAGGCAAGCTGTTGGATTAATGATGGGAAAAAGTACTGCAGCTCCATAAGTTTATATATACTCTGCGCCAATTTGTAACCCGGGGGAGCCACCCATGTTCTATACACCATCAACTAGTGTTTTGGTTCCTTGCATTTGTTCACTCGATTCTGACAAGAAAGGTGACTACTTCCCCTAAATCACCATTTTTATCGGTGGTATAAGCCATCCTCAAGTGATAGTGTTTTTGACATTGGGTTTCTGACTTTAATCAGTTAGAGAGATTGTTGGAGTGCTGTTTCCCAGAACTAGGGTGCCCCAAACCATTGCCTTCCGCAAACGAGTCGTCCAGGGCCTGAAAAACTAATAATTGGCTTCCCTAGTATAGTTGAAACGGCTCTATCAACATTGAGCCATTCTTGGGGATTATGAAGTAAGCCATAATAGGGAAACGTGTCCAACCAAGTATATAGTATTTCATGAGATGGGACAGGGCTGTTCTTCCATGGCTCATGTTGAAACTGGAAAGCTACAGCAGCATAGCCATGACCAGTGAGGTTTGACGGTGTGTTCAAGGATTTTTTTACGGTGTGTTCAAGGATGTTTCACGCGAAATTGCTTGAAACTCACTGGCGAAACATGAACCAAGCACTTACAACCACTTACTGTGCATTTTCATAGCCTCTCAGGCTATCGCATGTGTTACCACCATTTCCAACCCATCATATTGACCTTTGGAATCTACATTTCTTGATGATTTGAAGTCGTTCAGTGGTTCCAATTTGGAGAACGTCAGGCGGCATCGCTACGGTAGACGGTTTGGATTGGGGCCAATGATCGGGGGTAACTCCAATCGCTACAATATCCCAAAACCGCCGTCTCCCTATGTCAGATTGGAGTTCTATGCCCAGCTAATCCGTAGACATCCATAGACCACATAAGCGCGGTCAAACTTTTTGCTTCAAGAGGCGCTTGGAACTCAGCTGGCTCAAGGCCAAGGCGGTTTCACTGGCGGCGCGCCTAGGGGCGCTTCCAGGGCTTTTTGATGCAGTCGCTTCGGTCATGCTTTCAGGAGCTCAGCGGCGGTAGACCGACGGTGACATGACTGGTGAGTTGGGTGTGCCGTGTCATGCTGCGTCGCGTGGTAAACACTGGAAACCCAGCAGAAACTATATACCATCCACATGTATAAATTAGGATTCAAAATGAGTTTGAACCATCAAAACGGAACCCAGAGAAAGATATGAATTGTGTGTGTGTATTTTGTGGTTGAAGATTGCTCCCTTTACCCGGTGGCTGTCAGATTTTCTGGGTTGATGGAGTTTGATGGAGCAATACCATCACCATATTAAGCAAATCCGCTGGCTTAAAACACAACTGCGCGGACTTGTGAAAAAAGATGTGTTTGACCCAATGACACCCGATCGGCTAATTCGTGTTTATTGGGCTGCTAGTTGCACCTATGGTATCCTAATGTGCGTGTTTTTCCCTTGTATGCCCAGGTACCTATCACACGTTTCCGCGAATTCTTCGGCAAAATCATGCCTAAGGTGGTGGGCAGCGTGTTTTTACAGTCGACTTAGGGGTGTACGTCGCTGAACATTTACCATCATGTGCCCTCCGTCAGTTGTTACGTACTAGTAGTATCTAGTAGTTATAGATGACCCATTTTGGTTTGAGGAATTACCTGTTAAGCAGCTAAGCATGGTGATTTTCCATGGCTATACTGAAAGCCAGAGTTGCCCAAGGGGCCTTGGGGATGCGACTCCTGCTCCGCTGGCGTTGCGGGGCGTTGCGGGTGACATGTGGAGGTTAGCAAAGAAAGCCTGGAGCTGTTCATAAGGCGAGCTGAAGGAGGGAAGTTAGTGATAGCTGGATGAATGCTCGGTCAAAAATGGCTCATACGACCCATTTTCCGTGAAACGGTGGGATGGTGCTTTTTCTTACCAAATCTTTACCACGTTGGGCTTTAAGCCACTTTCATGTAAAATGGTGTTTTCAAATCAGTTTGGAGTGTTTTCATGATGCCCCCCTGTCATCCAGTGAATCCAGTGTCAAGCCCTAGTGGGGAGGGCGCAGGGTGTACCAAAAAAGTAAAGATAAATTGTATATAAAAAAACAGTGCTCTGAACAGGTGCTCCAGCAGTGCAAGCCTCAGCTATGAGTTTGAAGTCACACATAGATTGATATGTTGATAAAACGTATGAATATATAACACTGTAGAAATGTGGCAGCTACACTTGAATCTGATCTGGTCATAATGAAGTTCAGTATTGCAGCTGGCATCCAATATGCAAGTTTTGGATTCCAGCTAAAAGGTCTTGGAGCCCAAGACCAATGCAAAGGTATTTGAATATATCATTTTCAGAAAGGACGTTTGAAGAGGAAATGGTTGAACAGAATACCTTTTTCAAATCAATTTTGCATGTTTGCCTGCCCAGTGAGAAAGAGTGCAAGCCTCAGCCATCAGTTTGAAGTGGGATGAGTGCAGGCCATAAGTGCAAGCTTCCTGGTATGAGTTGAAGTCAAAAAATATCCAGTGGGATGCTCAAACTTCAACATGCCAGCTACGAATCATTACTTGACAAATTCTTACATGGACCTTTGAGATTGAATATATGATGAAAAAATGAACATGTAGAAACTTCTGAAGTTCTTGCTAGATCTGATCATGTTAGGCCAGTGACAACTGACACAGCATCAAGTTTTCCATTGCAACCTAAACCCCCTAAACTACATCTTGCTGATAAGTTTTCAAGTCCTGGAGTCCCGGACCCGCTTAATCCCAGCCTTCTTTCTGGGGATGGTTGGTCCAACATTTGTGGCTGCAACGGCGCCAAAATGAAACTTGGATGCCTACTGAATTTGCTGATTACTATCATACTTCATACTCTATCCTCTGCTCAAACAATCATAGTACCAGCTGTGTACCTGCACTGAAACGAGTATTTTTTAAATAAATTTAAACAAACTGCTTGGGTATACTATGCTTTCTATATTCCAAATTAATTTGAATGGTCAGCTGTCATCACAATGTCCAATGGTGCATCTGAGGACCAGTATCCACAACGGGATCCGGCTGAGTGCCAAGGTGCCTTATGATCAGTTACCACCCAATACTGGGATAGTGTGCTTTCTGGGCATCAAAGGCAATGCGACTTTTGGCTGCACTGAGGTTTGAATAAACAATGTTAGAGAGTGTATCTGCCGAAAGGCTTGTACATGATATGATATGTGTGCCCTGGAATCCGGGACCAACAATATTTTTTCCTGTCTAGGCTTCATATGATTAGCCTGAGGAAAGTCATGCAATGCCGAGAGGAAGCTCGTGCAAGGGGACTTCCATTCATGTTCTTCAACCTCATGCACACTAGCAAGAGCAGTATGCTCTTGTCAGAGCCGCTTGTCAGCAAAATGATGTTTTTTTCACTGGAAAGATGTTCTTAATTTGGTGCAACTTCATTTTGTAATTTGAGTCACATAACACGATGGTTCCTTCAGACAAACTCAATGCATGAAATTGCAGTTTGGCACACCTGGTTCCAGGACTGTCTATTAAAGCTTACCATATCAACATAGCTTGCCATCATAGCATGTGGAGTGAAATTTGAGTCACATATCACTATGCGTTTTGGTGCTGCTAAATACATAAGTAACATTCATGAACAGCGACTTGACAAGGCTGTTGCAAAATTCAAACTCAACTTACCTTGATGTTCAAATCTTGCAGTCATAAGTCATAAGGTCATGTATGTTAAATTGTCGATCAAATTCATCACTCCAATGACTCACTGGTGAGAGGATGTTTAGTTCAAAGAATCTATTGAAGAAACAAGTGAAATTATAAGAAATGCTGGTAAACAAATAAGAGGCAGAACATGATTATGATGCAAAAGTCAAGCAAACAAGATTCTCCAATAATGTACATCAGCCATCAAAGAAAACAGTTACTGTACCGCAGTGTTACATTATTATGCCTTCTTTGCATTGTTTCTTTTTGTTTGGTGTTGTTTGTGACTTCCAGGTTCAGCCGGTTCCTGCAGTTTGTGCAGCAGCATGACAAGGTGATTCTTCACTGCCATCACGGAAAGAACCGGAGCGCTGCAGCAGCAACAGCTTGGGTGGCGGTGAAAGAGGACATCGAATGGGACCAGGCTGCACCTTGTCTGCAAGTGTTGATGCTTGTTTTTTTTTGATGTTTTTTCCTACATTTGAAGGTTCCTTTCGCAAGCTTTCACTCATTGATGGCACTGTGTGAGGAACGTCGCATCAAGCTACTTCGGGAAAAGGACCTGAAGAACAACATGAAGGTGGATGTGAGCAGCTTTGAGTGGCTTGCCTGCAATGGTGCTTCAACAAACGAAAGTATTTTTTCTAAAACTTACAAATACACATGTCTTGAAGACCCAGGCCTGACACCTTTCCATTTTTCTGTTGATGCTTTCAGCTTGTCGACTTGAGGTACCTTCAGGTCATGCTGTCTTGGAACCAGGGTGTGCTGAGGAGTGATCAAGCGTAGTTTTTGTGTTCATAGCTTTGTGTGAGTTCTGAACATGGCTGTCAAACCCAGGACCTGGACAAAACGCTTTGCATCTCTGAGAGTTAAAAACAAATCCATGATCATCATCAATCGCATCTCCCCAGTATATAACTGATATTGACCTGCATTCCACTTCAACTTTTTTGTTGAATTCAGGAGCATTTGGGAGAGAAGGCCTCGCTAAAGCACCTTGATTGCAGTGGCTGCGAAGTAGAGAAAAGGTCCTGGAGCCTGGAACCCAGGACCTTTTTGCAAACAGCTTGCCTGACCCAAACTATAGAGTGATTTTCATTTTTTCATTGGTATCATCACCATCATCAATCATCATCCGTTACATGTTCCAGTTGAAACATGTGTATATATATATACACATCACATATGTATATATTTATTTATCACTTAGAAATATATATGTATAGTTAGATATATTCATATACATGAGGTTAACATATTCACTGCACGATGCAACTGGCATTTGGCTAAACATCTTTCATTGCAGTGGCAAACCAGTTGCTTTATCATCAGCATTACCAATTGCATTTCATCAGCAAGACAACACATATGTGTACCTCTAGATACTGATCCCCTTCTTCTGCCAAGGTGACAGCAGCGACATTGCAAGGGATGAAAAAAGGAGTGTGAGTGCTCTCGTGATGCAGACATGCTGGAGCGTGAGTGCTCTCATCAACAACCGCCTGAAGTTTGCCATTTTCACTTGGCTTGTGGACAGCCCTGCCAAAGAAGCTCCAGAGGTTGGACCTGCTTCAAATTGTTTTTGCTTACATACCACACAACCAGAAAGCTAGAGCCAAATTGATTTCCAGGATGCTGAGTTTGATAAGGCTAAGGTTGATAGAAACACACACACACATATATATATATACATATGTGAACACACATATATACATATACTGAAAACATCACGGGTTTTGGTATACTCATGAGTTGAAACACTATGATGACAAAGGATGGTGATGATGATGATGATGATGATGCTGACCATCTGGGTGATGATCACTGATGGTGATCATGGAGATGACATGATGTTGATGATGATGATGATGATGATGGCGATCATGATGATGGTGATTGATCGCAACACTGCCTACCATGAACATTTGTTCTTGCCATAAAATACAACATCCTGGATTCCAGGACTGCCAAGCATTGCTGCTGCATTTTGGCAAGGATAAGGACTCTTAGCACTTTTGTGAGATGTTCAAATGTTGATCGAAAATGTTCCGTTGCTTCAGTCTGGTTTGTGTATTCACACACCTGACCTCTGAATGAAGCATTGAATTGAATTAGGTGTTTCAAAACCAACATCAGTGTTTGGATGGTCATCCATGGTCTGTTGGGATGGTCACGGTCTCAGCTTCCTTCGCCCCAGCTGCTTCATGACCTTTCTTCGAAGGTACTTTCCCTTCAAGCACCACACAGGCTAAAAAAAGTTGCACAGTCACACTCCGGGTCAGTGTATTTCCTGCTCTGACGGAGGACACCTCTTGCCCTTTCTCGTAGGCTAGTGAACCTCTCATGTTCTGAGATTGGAAGGCTACCAATGCAGCTGCCGCTGAGGAGCTTGAGGCTGCACATCTTCTTGCACCGATCTGCTGCAAGCTCCACGGTAGGGCTCTTGAGAGTCTGGACAAGGATCTGCAGTCCTTCTTGACCATCATGACACTCCAAGACATAGCGGTCTTCAAACTCCCAAATAGCCTTCCCCACTGTCCATGCAGAGAACTTGTTGTTGCTGGTGCGGAACCTCATCCAATCCCCTGCATGAACTTCAGGACCCCACCGGAGGGCATTGCCAACGCTGATTGCTTTCATGCGCCAGGCATGTCAGAACTGGTGGGAATAGGTATAATGACACAGTAGGAGAAAGCCACAGAAACTCAAAACAATCCTTTTGGAACCGATGGCTCTGAGCATCTGGACTGGTTGTGGCTGGCTGAGGACATGCTAATGATGATGCTAATGCTTGCCCAGATACTTTCCAATTCTCTGGGCTCCTCCAATGGGTATCCAGCAACGCACATGAGAAACTCCGGGAGCGCATCATCTCAGTCTGAAGCTCTTTCACTTGCAAGGCAGGTAGCCAATCCTGCTCCCGCGTGGAACCCAAGGAAGCTGCAGCTTATGCAGTGAGATGTGTCTGGATGAGCTTGGAAGGACACTTGAAACCAAGCAGCCCATGCACAACCCCATGGTCAGGCCTTGTCAACAGGCAAGTCTCCACCAGCAGCCATACCCTGCCCGTCCATGATGCCCCACCTCCACGTGTGACTTGAGGCCTTGATGCTGCGGCCAGTTGGGCAGTCACTTGCGCCAATCTGAGGACTGGAGTCTTGGACACCAAGACCCCTGTCCGTGCTGCACAGGTAGGTGCAGTAGATTTGCATGCAATGAACAGCAGGAATGACATGGCTGGTCGGTAGTACTTGGTGGGTATTTGGTTTGGTCATCCTGGATTCCAGGATGGCTCCCTTGACTCTCTGCATGAACCAACCTGCAGGGGTCCTGGATTCCAGGACCCAAGAAGTAAGGCTGGTTGGGTTGGTATTAGACGGCTCCCGTTGACTCAACTCAGAGCATCCAGGACCCAGGAAGTAAGGAAAGTAGGAAGAAGCAGGGGGCCGGAAGGCAAGAAACGGCCCAAGAAGTAAGCAAAGGGCTCTAAAGCATACATGATGTGTCAACATGTTGAACTAACTCTTACTTGTTGAGTTGTGCATTTTCAGCTTGCATGCCAACTCTGCAACTTTTTGGCTACATAATATACTCCAAACTCTCTGGTTTGGTACCTGTCAGCTCATGGAATGTCCTTAGGCTTTTGCTTTGACTTCTTCTCAACGTCGCACCAGCAGTCTTTGGATGTTTGGGTCAAAGTGCCATGGTCTTTCCTGCAGAGCATTCAGTATATTCAGTATATTCATGCAATGGTCCAGAGTCCAGTATATTCAGCATATCTGGAAAGCATGCTTGCTGTGGCTACAGATGTAAAGTCTGGCTACATACTGGTTACAGTTGTACAGACTTTTCGTCTGGCCCAAGCCTGGTGAGCCACTCTTTCAACCATGCTTCTGCTGCATATGATGCACGCAGCTTCTCATCAGCAATTGCCTTGAGATACTCAATCTCAGCCAAAAACCGCTTCTTGCAAGCAGCAGCCCTTCAATTTGTAAGTTGAGCAGCATGCTAGGCACGATTGGCAGCAGCAATGGAAGAGTCATAGTGTCCAGACATGCTTGTGACACAAACAAAGCAAATCGACCTTGCCAACAGTCCTGAGCAAAGACATACAAACATATTGCATGGTTTGTGCTTTTATATATTCATACATTTTATCAACATATCATTCTATGTGTGACTTCAAACTCATAGCTGAGGCTTGCACTGCTGGAGCACCTGTTCAGAGCACTGTTTTTTCAGTATACAATTTATCTTTACTTTTTTGGTACGCCCTGCACCCTCCCCACTAGGGCTTGACACTGGATTCACTGGATGACAGGGGGGCATCATGAAAACACCAAATTGATTTGAAAACACCATTTTACAGTACATGAAAGTGAAAGTGGCTTCTTTGTCAAACTTTGATGGAAGAATGCACCAGACCCATTCCTGGATGACTAAACCCGTTTCATTGATGGCGTCCCCCTGCAAAAGCTTGTCATGTTTGTTTGGTTGATCTGATTGATCATAATTAATACGTTATCTTCCACGTCAAGAAGCACATTTAATATGTAATATATCTGATCAGTAGATAAAAACAATTGTGATTATTATTGTATATATATGCGCGTAAAGAGAGAGAGAGAGAGACGACGACCAACTATCATCCTGAAGTACATAGAATACTGATGTTTGAACAATGTCTCGAATTGAGTTTTTTTTTTTAATGTACTGTACATAGTCTATTTTCATCTATTTTCCCAAGGATGACTAAGATATAAGAGAATGTGTGGAGCTGTGTATGTATATGATTGTATATATGCATACATGTGAGCACAGATACGCATGATTCTTTACTGAAGATGCAGCATCTCTCAGGCCGTACCTGGTGAATGGCGATGAGGTTGACCATAAGCAGCTGCTGGAGTCGCTGATGTGCGGCTTAGACGAGGAACGCGACCGGCAACTACAGGTGCGGGTCGCTACGCCCAATTGCTCAATGGCTTGGGGTATGCATAAATTTCAGACACACCCAAATGGGGAAAAATGGGAAAAGTGACAAGGGTATATACCAGTTGTTCCCCACCTGCCAATGCCTGCCAAGTGAGGGTCTCTAGACTTTAACAAAGGTACAACTCCCTTCTCCGCCGATGGCGATCTCGGGATGCAGTGAGCCACGCCTGGACTTGAACACCATGGCCAGCTCCGGATGCTGTGGGCCTTGCCTGGACCGGAACACATGCCAAAGAGAATGCCAGAAAGAATGTCAGAAAAAATAGCAGAAAGAATGTCAGATAGAATGCCAGAAAGAAGGTCAGCAAAAATATTAGTTAGAATGTCAGATAGAATGCATGAGAATGCCAGAAAGAATGTCAGAAAGAATGTCAGAAGAATGTCAGATAGAGTGCCAGAAAGAATGTCAGATAGAATGCCAGAAAGAATGTCAGATAGAATGCCAGAAAGAATGTCAGAAAGAATGCCAGAACGAGTGTCAGATAGAATGCTACATAGAATGTCAGAACATATGACGGATAGAATGTCAGATAGAATGTCAGAAAGAATGTCAGTATGATATATGTCAGATAGCATGCCAGATAGAATGTGAGAACATATGTCAGATAGAATGCCAGAAAGAATGTCATGAATGGATTCAGGGTGGGGATAACTCGAAGTATCTCGAAGTAAAGTATTTCTCATATCACAAATGGTGTACGTCATTAGGCGGGGTGCCATATGTTGCCGAGGCAATGGCGCATTTTTTTGCCCTGATAGCGTGTGACCCTTTACACAGACGTACGCGCAGATATGCTTATACATAAATACAATAACACACACACTTTTTTGTTTTTCTTTTTTTGGCAGATATGCTTTAATAATTGTATATATATATAAATTATATTGCATGATTATTATCATCATATATCATCATCCACATATATATATATATATAATACATACATACATTATGCCAAATTATGCTAATCCAGTATCCTTCTTGAGAAGAATGCATTCATGTTGGCTCTGCTCAGGCTGCGCAGGATGAAGTTCGATCGCTGAAGGGCGCCCTATCGCGGCATCCCTTGGAGTTTACCGTGGGGCAGCACCTTGACGTCCGAGACGGTGCCAGGTTGGTCATGTTGACCTCCTTGAATGGCCCAGTTGGTGGAGATTAGCCTATCACCTTAGTTTAGCATAGTTT